AWAAWWWWAKWSTMTRTRTTTRTKTAWATTTTTTCTGTTTTTTTTTTCCTTTGGCGGGAGAAGGGGGTGAGAGTAGTGCACGTTTAGTGTAACGCATGAGACATTCGATGATGGCATAACCAAGGTTGAAAAAGCTCCATATTTACAAACAGCGGAAAAATGAGAATTAAAATAGATGTTAGACTTATTACTTGAGATATGTGATTCGCCGTCGTGAGGGTAATTAAATGACTAATCCCGGATTTTACTCCTTGTGTGAAGTGCTCTCCTTTTGTCACTCTCCCTCAACGTTTAATGACAGGAAGTGGAAAACACAAATCAAAGGAGGACGATCTCACCAAGACACTTCTGTCTTACAAGAAGAATCACCGAAATGTTTATGTGTATCTTTCTGAGTGTGAGAAACTTATCAGAGGCCTGCACTCTTATCTTGCATCTGGTAAGTTGGCTTCAAATGAAGCGTTTTGGAAAGCAGACTGCCTCGTTGGACTTTATGGTAAGATACCCGACCCAACAAGTAGGCATTTGGTTGCGAACTTCTTGGTTGATGTAAATTTACCAGAGTTTTTGACCGAGATAGTAAGAATTCTTCGGAGTCGTTTATATCACGAGGAGCCTTCGCAAGCAGGAGAAAAAACGGTTGGGCCCGTAGAGAAAGATGTGAAGGCAACAAGAAAGAAAAAAGCGACTGCTTTGAAGGCAAGATCTGAAGATGAGATTCCATCTGAGGTAAGATAGGTAAAAGGGTTCTATTAATGAGTTTTCTACTTTTGTGGAATGCACTTTTTGTTAAAAAAGTGAGGATGTGAGACAAATGTTAGATTGAATATTATTATTAAGGAGAAATACAATCAGAAAATCGGGTAAAAACTCCTGCCAGGCTCCTGTCAAGAGACTATTATTAGCGAAAAATGTAAATTTTGTTTAGAACGAACGCAACTTTTCCATGCAACGTCTCGATAATCTCTCGCCCTCGAACGAGCTACGACTCAAAATGGCAATGCCAGGGGCCAAATCCACTTGAGAACCATGCAGAAATAAAAGTAAAGTTGGTCGGAACAATGGGCAGATATGAGGGTATTTGTTATTTGTGGGCAATTTCTTCGCCTATATCCATTAAGGCAAGAGAATGTTGGAAAATGTAAGAGATAGCGAGCTACAGAAAGGTACCTCTTTGTGCGTACCATATTTAGTAAACTTTTGAGTTTGTTAAGTTTGTAAATTTGTTTGGAACACTATGAACCGACACGCATGGCAGAACCTTCTCTGTGTTCTTCCTTTCCACAGGGAAATTCGGATGCTAAATGGACCGTCGAAGTACTGTTATCAGTGGCAGTTGCCATTCTGAACTTTACTGATTTCCACGATGCCTTCTGTGTGGCGTGTGGGAATGCAGGGCTGATCAGGGAATATTTGGAGTTGTTAGAACATCTGAAGAAGTGTACTCCAGAGTTTGAAGTTCATACGGTAGGAGTTTTACTTACATGAATCAACCTATAGTCCCCTTAAGAGTATTTTCCTTTATTACCCAACTGTGCTTCGTAGAGTACAACTAATATCACGCGATATTTGTACTCCAGAAATATCCGCGAAATTCGCCCGTCCTGAAATAACAATTGGGCGTTGTTGGATAATAAATCTCTTATTAGGCGTTTTGTTGAGTAGTATCGCTGAGTATTTTTATTCGTTGTTTGTATTTTGACTCGACCTACGGCTCGTCAAAATACGGCGCAATCGTAAAAATACCCAGCGATACTACACAACAAGCCATCTAATAAGATATATTTATCCTCGTGACTTGTCTGCTTGACATTGTATTGATATTGTAAGAAGAAATGTTGTGTTGGTCGATTGGGCGTTAAAGGGTTAAGTAAGTTGTGTCGTGTTTTAATTTTAATTATGGTTTTAAGGTTTTTTAACCAGACTAATTTTGTCCCTGATCATAGTAATAGATATGGAGCAAAGGGAAAACAAAATGAAACTACGGTCAAAGCCGTATTAAGCGGCACCGTATTAGGCGGTCACCCTGTATTAGGTGGCCGGTTGTTAAAGTCCCGAAAATTGTCCCCTTAACTACTGTAATTTTCACCTCTATTCAGTGGTCGTGGTCAGCGGTCGTGGTCAGCGGTCGTGGTCGACCCTGACTGAGTACCAACGGTGTATTTGTATTTTCTTCCTTCTATATTGAAGTGGAACTGCTCAGATTAAACTAAGAATAATCTCTAAGTCGAATTCATTTCTTGTTTATCTCTCAAAATCAGCGTTAGTACTTTGAGTTCAAATGTCCTCAACGCATTGCAGATTATCTTTATTCTAAGTAACGTTAGGACAAAATGACATTATTTGTTGCGTTGACCACTATTCCTTTGAACCTGTATGTGGCGGTTCCTCCGCCATTCCCCGTGGGTGACTGCTAAAGACAGGTTCAAATGTACATTGTGGTTAGAAATATTTTTTACTAGAGAAAAGTTTGAATCACAACATCTATATTCGGTGTGATGCAAATTAATAAACCGGTTGGAGGCACTTATTTACAATTCTTCGACTGTTTGTGAGCTTGGCTGTCTACAACTGTCATGTAAATTGCCCGCTTCAAATTGCTAATTTCGGCCCGAAAAAAACCCTTCCTCACCCCTCTCCACACGTGTCTGCGTTTTATTTTAAATATTTCTTAGCCTTTCTTAGTCTATCCCAACTCTCCCCTCCCATCCCCTCGTTCCTCGTGAGGGAAATCCCGTTGTTGATTAAAAGTACTAAGATTTGGCAATTTTTAGACTTTTCTGACCAGTGCTGAAGACAAAGACTCCAACTTCTCAAGAAAAGGTAGCTTGATATTTGAAGTTCTGGGAGTGCTTCACAATCTCTCCAAACGAATCAGCCTCAAGAAACATTTCGATGATGGTAATGCCGTGGAGACGCTGTTGAGCTTTTTTCGAACAAAGTTCCCTGTCTACAGAATGACTTCTCTTCTTACCCTGGCTTACCTGGTGGACGAGAAAAACAACCACCTGATAATGGCTAGTGAAGGTAAATGGTCTGGAAAAATAGTTTATGGAGACTTTAGGCATCGCGAAAGTTTGTCGGTGATAGCCTTATCGTGCGCATTACAGTATAGATTTACTTGACTTGCTTCTTTTACCGTCAGTTATTTTAATATAGTGCTTTTCGTATGATGCACGATCCTCGCAGTAGATAGCGCTATTTATGCAATAGCGAAAATCAGACTTGAAAAAAATCAGGCCTGTACGGGACTCGAACCACTGACCTCTGCGATACTAGTGCAGCGCTCTACCAATTGAGCTAACAAGCCAACTGGGAGCAGGCCGTTAAGTTGATTCGTAATAAACCCGTGAAAGTGATAAATGAGATA